TCAGAGCCCAATATGGTGTTTCAGTGGGTGTTTGTTGAATGCATGAGTGATTGGGAAAGATGGAGCTAAACCAGTTTTCCCTGTCTCTGTGGTGGCCCTTTCCTTGTGCTCTAATTATGTCTCCATTTCCCCAATTCTGTGGAACACATAAATTGCCATGCAGTGAAACTGTATATGATCTTTGTTTATTGCTGGTTGCTTTTTAATAGTTAGATGTTACTCTTTGGAATATTGCTTGCCTTGATGTGTGATGAATACTTTTAATTCTTTGGTCACTTTTTTTTAAATAAGTTAATTACTTTCTATTATATTGATGGATTGTTTTATGTTTTAGATGATTCTCTCTAAATATTGCAACACAGGGACTATTAGATAGAGCTAACTGCCACCACCTTTTGAGTTGTTTCAGAAGAGGCTCCTTATTAAAAAATATATTATTTCAAGGTTTGTGCAAGGCACTTTTCTGCTGTCATCAGTGCCTCAAGATGGAATTAGAAGATTAAAAAAATAAAATGCTTCATTCATTTAATAAGTATCTGCCATATTTATTCTCATAGTTTTCCCCACACTTGCTATTTCACTATGAAATGAAGAGGGTAAAGGGATGCGTAGGAGTACCATATAACTATCTGCTTTCATTTCCTAAACAGTGGTGACTTCCCTGCAGTCAGCTGACAGTGGCAATGATCTCTGGAGTCTCAATCCTTACCGGTTCTCCTTGGGGAGCCCCTCAGAGTGCTCCTTCTGTCGGAGACTGCTTTAGGCAGTGCTGTTGGCATGTTTGTGAGAAGGAGGGGGAGATGATTTTCAAGCCTTGGAGAGTGGGAATTGATTATATTTAGGATAACTTTAGTGAAAGAAGGTGTTGATGTTTAAAGTAGAGGCCTTTGAGTCAGACAGACATGGCTTTGAGTCCCGGCTCTTCACTTTGGTTATGAGATCTTGAGCAGATGACTGTAGTCTTATAAGCCTTAGTTTTATCATTTATTTTATGAGGGTAATGATAGAACCCTCCCTCTTATAGTGATTGTGAAAATTAAATGAGATAACTTAGGCAGACATTTAGCAGAGTTTATTTAGCTCTAAATAAATGTTAGCTTTTGTTATAATAATAGGTATTATTATTAGGGCTCCTATAGCTTACATCTTGGGCCTCATGTGACCTTGTAATAGACTTGAGTAATAGAAATGGGTCTGATTATAAAACTTAGGTCTTTTCTAGTGTACTGTGCTGCATTTCTAAAGCACTTTATAGTTTGCAAAGTACATTCACATTTGTCATTTCATTGAATCTTTGTATCTTTAGATATTGTGATTCCTATAGCCCCTCAGCTCCACTTCTTCAGAAGGAGGAGGAGGAATAAACAGAAATAAGAAGAGAGAGCAGTGATAGCAATTAGGGTTCTGAAAATTAAGGTTGAGAAGAGTGGTAAGAGGGCTATAAACCCACTTCAGAAAGATTGCCACTGTTTTAATTTTAACCTTTTGACTGCCTGACAGGATCAAAACACTTGCTGTTTAGAGACATCTTTTCTAGTCCTTGGAGTTACTACTTCCAAGCTGAAAAATACACGCGCGCGCACTCGTGTGTGTGTGTGCGCGCGCACGCACGCATGTGGATGCATGAGAGGGATAGGGAGAGAGCATTATGTAGGAGAACTACTTTTTTATTATTTGCTTTATAACATAGAAGACTCAGTTAAAACAAAACAAAACAAAACAAAACCCCGGTGGATCTAATATTAGATGCTGGGTTGAGAAGTGGAATCTCTCTAAAAATGTTTTTTAAACTGATTTTATGTATTTCCTTACCCTAGTTCTGATATTTTTTCCCACCTTATTAGATCGATAGAATTCTGTATAGAGTGTTAAGGAACCACTTGATTGCTCAAGTCCCTCCATCTCCATCTGCTATCAGGAAACAGACCCATAGAAAAGGGCAAGTGAGATGGATGGAAGAAACTAACATTTATTGAGTTCCTACCATGTGTCCCAGTAGACATTTGACTCATTCATGCATTCATTCTGTAGTTCAACAGATTTTTTTTTTGGAGAGTCTTCTGTGCGCAAGGCACAGTGCTAGCCATTGTGTATAGAGCAGTAAACAAAGCAGACGTTATTATGATTCCCCTCATGGAAGCTCAGAGGCTAGTGGGGAAGGCATACACTGAAGATGTACATAAATAAATATATAATATCAGATTGTTAAGTGCTATGAAGGAAATGAACAGGATATGTGTGAGAGGATAACTGTGGAAGGGTCTTCTTTCTATAGGATTATCAGTGGAGGTTTCTCTGAGGAGGGGTCATATGAGCTGAGCCTTGAATAACAATAACAATAATAATAATCCTCACAAGAGTCAGTCCTCTGATAGATAGCACGTCCTATTATTATCATTTTATGTATGAGGACATGGAAGAACAGAGAGTTAAGTAATCTGCCCGAGGCCAAATAATAGAGGATGCAGAAATCATGAGAAAGAGCCTTCTAGATACGTGAATCTAGCAATAGCACTTGCTATGGCCTTAAAAGGGGAAGAAGCAGGCAATGTACACACATTCAGGGCACTTCTAGAAGGCTGGTGTAGCTGAAGCGCAGGGTTGGGGGGTGGGGGGAGAGTGGCAGTAGAGGATGTTGGAGGGCTAGGCAGGGGACACATCACGCAGCGCTTTGTTGCACACTGCATGGAATTTGGATTTTATTCAAAGCATCATAGGAGCCACTCACTGAAGGAATTTCAACAGGAGTATAACATGATCAAATTTGATGCTGCAGTTTGGTATCCACAGATCCAACAAACTGTGGATCCTATAGTACTGTAGCCCATATCAAGTGAAAAAAATTCACGTGGAAGTGGACCCTCGCAGTTCAAACCTGTGTTGTTCAAGGGTCCACAGTATTTTTCATCTGTTGGCAATACACGAGGGAAGGACAGGAGCTGAAGGTCAAGAGGTGAGGTTCATGGGAAGTTTGAGGAGAGAAGCAAAAGTATGCACTAGTGGTCTCAGGTGGGGTGCAGGTTGGATCAGGAGATACAATAGGCTTGCTATACAGTGTTGAGTGTCTGTTTGAGGTTTATCATCATGAATTTAAAGTAAACTCAATCTGTACAGTTATATGATTTTTCTCCAGTGATGTTTAGCTGGGCAATGCAGAGGGTTGGGTTCATACAAGATTGGGGTTCTGTGAATTGTGTCCAATGGAGGAAGAGAGTATTAAAACTGTATTTGCAAAGGAACGATTATAATGGCTCATGTAATCTGGAGGGTGGCATTGGGAAGTAAGGGTGACTGAAAGATAATTAAAAGGTGGTGGTTCAGCAGATTATAGGTTGGAGAATTTGAGGGACTACTTGAACAGATGAAGTAGAGGTATATTGAAGTGTATTCAGGTTTTAACCCTGTGATCTAGTGGTAAGGATTCGGCGCTTTGACTGCCATGGCCCGGGTTCAATCCCTGGTCCGGGAACTGAGATCCTGCAAGCTGCATGGTGCGGCCAAAATTTAAAAACAAATAAACAAAAGTAAAATTATTTTAAAAAGTGTATTCAGTGAGTGGATGTTCTAACTTGAGATTTTGGAGTTAGTGCAAATCTCTGGTGTACCCACCACAATGAGTGATTTGAGGTGGTGGATGAAAAGGCACTGGGGATGATGTGGTCTAGGGATTGAGACACTTCCATATTGGACAGATTGTTCTTTTAGATGAAATTGCCAAGAATGGTGACAGGAATTGGGGTGCGAAAGACTGTGAGCCAAGAGCTCAGGCCTTCAGTGAGGGAGGAGAAAGACCAAAGAAAGGTTGGTGGGTAACAGAAAAGGAGAGGGAGAAGATGGTGTAGTTGGATGGCTTGGGTCTCAAAGGAACAGGGGATTTTGTAAGAAAGGAGAATTAATAGTATGGAAGTAACAGGAACAAGAATACCTACTCCACCTCCTGGCCTTAAGGATTTGGGGGTTAAAAAGAACAAAGCAAAACAGTCTTCTGGACAGCAGAGGAAGTAGTATCCTCATGATCATCAGGTTTCAGTTAAGGCAAAAAGGTGGAGGAAATGTTTTTTAAAAAGAAGTAATGATGGGGCTTCCCTGGTGGCGCAGTGGTTGGGAGTCCGCCTGCCGACGCAGGGGGCACGGGTTCGTGCCCTGGTCCAAGAAGATGCCACGTGCCGCGGAGCGGCTGGGCCCGTGAGCCATGGCCACTGAGCCTGCGCGTCCAGAGCCTGTGCTCCGCAACAGGAGAGGCCACAAGAGTGAGAGGCCCGTGTACCGCTGAAAAAAAAAAAAGTAATGATGTATGGAAGTTTGCTGATTAGTGCAGGAGTTCCAGAGGGGAGTGGAGGGTTTGGGAGGGAGGAGAAAGAGGTGTGTGGGAGGGATTAGGGACATGTAGATCAGTGTGAGTATAGTGATTAGGGCAGTAATAAGACCAGAGACCCTTGAACTTTAGTTCAGATGAGTGAAGTAACAGATGTACTGCATAATGGAATTAGCCCCCCATCGTCTCTGAGAAGGCAAGCGCCTGGTTCCAGTACTGCTCAATGTTTCCTCGGAGAATATGGCAGCTTATCCCAAGGTCTCAAGGAGTGGTATGGCAGTTTTCAGGGAGGGCAGTGTATGCCAAGGTCTGATGATGACTTTTCCAAGGTCACACTGAATAAATAACAAAGCAAATCTCCTGACACCAAACATTAGGTCTGCTCACCACTCTGATTTGTTTATTTTAGTCGTAGTGCTCATTTACCTTACTGCTGGCAGAGCTGGGTCCATTAGAACATTAGAAAGTTAAAATTAAAGAAGAAAAAAAACCCTTAAAACTAGGCAATGTTTCCACTTTGGGACCACCCCAGGCTCATACACTGGTATGTGCAAAAGGGATGAGAACACAGGCCCTGTGCGAAAAGGATGAGAACACAGGCCCTGGAGGGCAGTCGTTGTAGCTCAGTAGGGTCTGCATGACCGGAACTGTGCGCTTTACCCTCATGCCTGTGCTCTGTCCACAGGGTCATGTAGGCACAACAGCAACCAAGAAGATCGATGTCTACCTCCCCCTGCACTCAAGCCAGGACAGACTGCTGCCAATGACCGTGGTGACAATGGCCAGCGCCAGGGTACAGGATCTGATCGGGCTCATCTGTTGGCAGTACACAAGCGAAGGACGGGAGCCGAAGCTCAAGTAATCCTCCCTCTTTTTGGCTGCTCTAGTCTCTGGCTGTCTCCTGGCCACCCATGCTGCATTCTGGGCCCGGTCAGTCTTTCTAGGCTTTGGCCTGGGAGCCAGACGTCCACACTGATCCAGGTCAGGTTGCTCACCAGATCTTGGGCCTGTGTAACTCAGGCTTATCTCAGAGAGTTTGCTTGCAAACAGACTGATAAGTTTGTGAATCCAGACATGAGGAAATGCATTTTAGCAGGATCCAAACCCTTTTATGATGCTTGCTGATAAAAGGAGCACGGGCAGTAGTGGAGGGAACTAGTGTTTGTTGAGCACCAATCATGATTTGGGCATGGTGCTGGGCACTTCATACCTGATTTCTCATTTAATTCTCCCGCTTCCTGTGAGGTGAGCATCATGATCCTCATTTTGCAGAGGAGGAAGCTCAGGATCAGAGAGTTGTTATTTGCTGAAGTTTACACCAGTGGGAGATGACAGAATCAGAATTTGTTTTCCAGTCTGCTTGATGCCAAGATTATTACTTTATTTCCTTTTGGTCTGAATTACAGTTTTCTTTATTATCAGTCAGTGACCAATTTTTCTCTCAATTACTAGACTCTATTCCTCATTAAACTATTATATTAAAAATGTAGTGCTTGAAAGTAGAGTCTCTATTATCTGTACATCATAACTTGAACTTTATAGTGGTTTGCTGCATTAGTTCTCCCATACTTGAATTTCTTATCTGACAGGCATCCTCTCCTAGTTTTATGTGCCCTTCCCAGCAGTAGGGTTTGGGATACAGCTAAATGTAGTGGATGCCTTCATTTTGGAAATGGATTCTCATGGAGGCTTTCTCTTCTCACATTTTGAGTTAGAATGGTCCAGTCTGTTAGGGGTGTGTGTGTGTGTGTGTGTGTTTCCTTTAGGTACATTAAATTTGTACTTAAAATTATTCTTTCAGGTTCTCATTGACATTGCCCTCCACTTTGCCTGAAAAAATTGTGGATATGAAGATAATCCTTATTGCTCCTATGGCAATAGAAAGCCTTTTCAACCAGGATACCACGTAGGCTCAGAAAAGGGTTGAGTCTGTAGCTGTGCTCAAGGCTGAGCTATGGTGTTGTCCCTTTTCAGCGTGAAGTGGAAACAAGCAGGTGCTAGTTACTTGATGTATGTTGTCTGAGTTAATCCTTAGAACACTGCTTGATGCAGTAACCGAAACCAAGAGAGGCAAAGGAACTTGCCCAGGGTTACATAGCGAGTAATAGGAGTTGAACTGTGACATACATTTTACAGATGAGGAAACTAAAGTGTAGAGAGGCTAAGTAACTTTTCTAAATTACACAGTAAGTGGTAGAACTGGTATTTAAACCCAGGATTTTTTTTTTTAATTGAATGAACGATTATTTAAATTCTGTAGTGCTTTACAGTTTCCAAACGTTTCACACACGTGATTTCATATAATTCCATAACCCTTTTTTCTCCCTTCCCCTATATTGCCCCTCCTTCCCTCTCCCCACTGGTAACGTTTGCTCTCTATATCTGTAAGTTTGCTTCTTTTTTGTTTTATTCACTAGTTTGTTGTATTTTTTAGATTCCACATATAAGTGATAGCATATAGTATTTGTCTTTCTCTGACTTATTTCACTTAGCATAATGCCCTCCAAGTCCATCCATGTTGCTGCCAATGGCACAATTTTACTCTTTTTTACGGCTGAGTAGTATTCCATTGTGCATATGTATACCACATCTTCTTTATTCATTCATCTGTTGATGCACACTTAAGTTGTTTCCATGTCTTGGCAGTTGTAAATTGTGCTGCTTTGAACACTGGAGCACATGTATCTTTTCGAATTAGTGTTTTATTTTTCGGATATATACCCAGGAGTGGAATTGCTGGATCATATGGTAGTTCTATTTTTAGGTTTTTGAGAAACCTCCATACTGTTTTCCACAGTGGCTGCACCAATTTACATTCCCACCAACAGCGTAGGAGGGTTCCCTTTTCTCCACATCCTTGTCAACATTTGTTATTTGTTAAACCCAGGAATTTCTGACTCAAGAGCCCCACTCTTCACTATTACATTATAGTCCTTACCATGGAACTCTGTTATAGGTGATATTAAAATATTTATTGAGTTCATGCTTAGTACAGGCACTGTGCTAGATCTGGAAATACAGAAGTGAAAAAGGCAGTTTATGCAATCAAGGAGGTTATTGTCAAAGGTAATAATAATAGGCAATAATAACACAATACACTAGACAATGATAATACAATACAGTAGGCAATGATAATACAATACTATAATAATCCAGTACAGTAGCACACAAAATCCTGAGAAGATCTGACCCCATACTTGGTGGTGAGACTGGAGTCATGAAAAGCAACCTTGCTTAAGTGACATCTAAACTGAAACCTGAAGGAGTAGGAAAAGGTGATGCAGAGAAGTTGAGAGGAGGGTGCTCTAAACAGAGGGAAAAGCACGGACTTGTTGTTATGATGACCCTTTAAATTCATGCTTTAAATTCTATATTCTGCTTCAAATACATAGTAATGATAAATGGAGTATGTTGTTGACATACTTTTTTTTGTTTGTTTTTTGTTTTTTGGGTTTTTTTTGCGGTACGCAGGCCTCTCACCGCCACAGCCTCTCCCGTTGCGGAGCATAGGCTTCGGACACACAGGCCCAGTAGCCATGGTCCATGGGCCCAGCCGCTCTGTGGCATGTGGGATCCTCCCAGACCGGGGCACGAACCCACGTCCCCTGCATCGGCAGGCGGACCCTCAAGCACTGCGCCACCAGGGAAGCCCTATACTTGTATTTTAATAACCAGTTAACCATCCTGTGGACTAGGAACAGAACCAAGTTCAGAAATAGGCAGAGTGTGCTGGGAGTTGATTCTTTTAGAGCATTACTTCTAAAGGAACATGCTGTGAATGAGTTTACCAGTATGTGAAATATTGATTTTTCTCAGGCTTCAGGGCAACTAGGTGGTCTGAGGGTAGTCAGAGCCTCCAGCCATCATTTCTGGGTAGGGAACAGAGTCATCCATCTATCTGTGTGCCATACAGATGCTGTTATTTTCTAAGTATCCCAAGATGTCAAAAAAAGTGGGAAACGCTGCTTGAGGGTATAGGGACCAAAGGAAGTTCATACCTGGATGGGGACTAGAGGAAGTCTCACTGCTGGAAACTAGGAGCTGGGGTGGGATTGTCCTGCCTATGAAAAGAAACTGAACAAAGCTGCCTGGGTCTGTGGCTCGTTTCAAGTTGTGTTTCTGGGGTGGCAGGGGAATAAGATAGCAGTGTGACCAGGACCTGGCCATGATGTGACTGGGTTTATGATATCCCTAGTGTCCCTAGTATCACCGAAGGATAGGAACCCTGAGCTGCCAGTGTAAGACCTGGCTCTAGACTGGAGGTCTCTGCTTTGATGAAGATGGAAGACAGTGGCATTAGACAGGGAGGCGTGAGAGAGGAAGAAAGGGAGAGAGAAAAAGAGAGGAAGCATTCCTATTCAAGAAGAGCTAGCAAATTAAAATTCCAAAGCAAACCAGTATAACTAGCACTGAGAAAGAAAGACAATAATCCGGAGAAAAATTCACACCCAACAAAATTATAATAAAGCAATCTGAAAATAAATTTCAAATAAATATATTTAAATTCATCAAAATGATGAAGGAATAACACCCATGGGTAAACTTCTGGGAAATTGTGAAACAAAACTGAGCAGATGAGAATCAAGAGGTGGATTTAGAAAAGAGCCAATTAAAAGTTCTGGAAATATAAAATGCAGTTATGAAAGTTAAAAAAAAAAGTATGTTGGATAAGCTTTAGACTGGGCCCAGCTAAAGAGGAAATGAATTGAAAGATAGTACTAATGAATGCAACTCAGGATGCAACACAAAGATACAAAGAGATACAAAGAAGGAAAGGTAAGTTAAGAGACATGGGGGAAAGATAGAGAGCCTCCCATATGTGAAGCAAAGAATAGAGGGAACAGCAGGGAAACAATATTTGAAGAGCTAATGCCAGAGAATTTCCCAGAATTGAAGGCAGATAAGAATGAGTCTTCGTATTAAAAGCACATACAAATTAAGTGGTGCAAGGATAGACTTTTCAACAAATGATGCTGGGCAGTTGGACATCCATAAGCCAAAAAAATAAACTACAACCTAAACCGCGTGCGTTGTATAAAATTAACTCAAAGTGAAACTGCAGCTTAAATGTAAAATGTAAAACCATAGAGCTTTTAGAAGAAAACAAAGGAAAACATCTTTGGGACTGAGGGCTAGATGAAGAGTTCCTATACATGACACTAAAAGCATGATCCACAGTAGAAAAAAAAAAGATAAATTGGACTTCATCAAAATTAAAAACCTTTGTTTTACAAAAGATCCTTGGGGCTTCCCTGGTGGCGCAGTGGTTAAGAATCCACCTGCCAATGCAGGGGACACAGGTTCGAGCCCTGGTCTGGGAAGATCCCACGTGCTGCGGAGCAGCTAAGCCCATGCGCCACAACTACTGAGCCTGCACTCTAGAGCCCGCGAGCCACAAATACTGGTCCCGTGTGCCACAAATACTGGAGCCCGTGCTCCGCAACAAGAGAAGCTACTGCAGTGAGAAGCCTGCGCACCTCAATGAAGAGTAGCCCCCGCTCGCCACAACTAGAGAAAGCCCACGTGCAGCAAGGAAGACCCAGTACAGCCAAAAATAAATAAATTAAATACATTTTTTAAAAATCTGTTTTTAATTAGAAAAAAGAAAAACAGAATCTTATTTCCTTCTCAGTCCAAAAGCTGTCAAGCAGACATTCTGCCATCTCCTTTCCCATGGGTCAGAGTCTTCAGCTCCACCTGGCAAAAGGGGGTTGGGGAGGAGGGTGGCAGTGAGTCAAACAGTAGAATTTAAGGCAAAAACAACATCAATAGGGATATTTTGGTAAACTACATAATGAAAAAAGGAATAGCCCACCAAGATAATATAATAATTCTGACTGTGTATGCATCTAGCAACA